GTTGGAGGTTGTGGTTCGTCTCCATTGTTTGTTTTGTTTTTTCTCTCAGGTACCTGCCTCTTATCTCTGGTTTTCTTGGACTTCACCCAACTGTAGTTCCTCTCATGTTTCCTCCCTATAGCTTTCATCTCATCTATCTATCTCACCTAATAACTGGTTTCCATCTGCATCCAAATTTCTTTGAAACAAAAATAGTTATCAGGTTTCCAGGTGTCTAAATATATATATTTTTACTGTAGTTCCTTGCAGTTTTTCTTTCTTTACCTGAACTTGTTCATATTAGTCGTGTTTCCAACGTTTCCTTTTCCACATTTTGAAATATTTCATTAGAAAATCATGATGGAAACAGCAGAATTGAAGCAAAACAGCAAAAATAGCAGTAAAACTTGACTTTGGATGGAAAGGGGCTGATAATACGTTAGAGAAGAGAAACTGTGAACTCAGCTGAACAATCAACCTCTTTCGATTTGAAAGCTGTAGAAATTAAAGTTTATTCATGCATAAAGTAACATAGTAAAAATGAACCATTTGCAGTCAGAGTAATGATGAGAAAAACAGCAGAAAGAATCCGATGAAAAGGCAGCAATGTAAAAAGGAAATAACAATATGAACATTTTGAGCTGAAAATGTGGAAACCGCTCCGAGCGTTTCAGCTGTTTAACTGTAAGGAGGAGCAGTAATGCAGTCAGATCAGGCAGTCAGAGAGCATCGGTCCATTTCTCCAGTCATAAGGATGGTCATAATGACAAGCAGAAAACTGGGGGCATCATCTTCATCACTACAGGTAATTACTGCTAAGTGTTCAGGTAGTCGAAGCTTTTACTGTTAGCTTTCTGAGAGCTTCTAGGTGGTTCTGCTTGAAGATAAAACATCTGCTCATTCTGTGGGCCTATATGTTTCTGCACATCTGATTTTACCATAATCTATGCAGCTGATAAAACCTGGGATCGTAGATGGGACTAAATTCCCAATAGGATGTTTGCGGTGCAACATCAAGATGAAGGATCTCGAATGAAGAAATAGCTGGAGATAAAACAAGTACAACCAGGAAACATAGAGGGTCGGATCTTAAAAGAAATACAGAGTATCAAATTCTGTATTAAAATAAAAAACAGTTAGTTTCTCATGCGCACCAGGTAGTTTCATGTTTGCACCATTTAGTTTCACGTGCACACCAGTTAGTTCCACGTGCTCACCAGTTAATTTATCATGCACACTAGTTAGTTACACATGCACCAGTTAGTTTCTCATGCTCACCAGTTAGTTTCATGTTTGCACCTGTTAGTTTCACGTGCGCACCAGTTAGTTCCACGTGCTCATCAGTTCATTTCTCATGCAGACTAGTTAGTTACACGTGCACCAGTTAGTTTCTCATGCTCACCAGTTGGTTTCACATTTGCACCTGTTAGTTTCACATGCGCACCAGTTAGTTCCACGTGCGCACCACTTAGTTTCACGTGTGCACCAGTTAGTTCCACGTGCTCACTAGTTAATTCCTCATGCACCCTAGTTAGTTACACGTGCAACAGTTCATTTGTCATGCGCGCTAGTTAGTTTCACATTTGCACCTGTTAGTTTCGCATGCGTATCAGTTAGTTTCACGCGCGCACCAGTTAATTTCCACAAAGCACCAGTTTCATGAGCGCACCTGTTAGTTTCACATGTGTACCAGTTCATTTCTCATGCTCACCAGTTAGCTTCTAGTGCACACCAGTTGGTCTCATGGATGCACCTGTTTTATTTCACATGCATACCAGTTAGTTTCATGTGCACCACTGTTGATTTCATGTGCGAATTAGTTAGTTTTTGCTGTTCACCAGTTAGTCTCACGTGCACCACTTTTGGTTTCACGTGCCTACCAGTTAGTTTCTCATGTGCACCAGTTAGTTTCACGTGTGCACCAGTTAGTTTCACGTCATCACAATGTCATCTGCATATCTTCATAGACACTTTCTCACTTTGACCCTCTTAACATGAATCACACCGGCTCTGGAGAACAACTTTGCACATGCTAATAGGTTTCTGTGTGGTTTAAAGCAAACTTTTTTTAGGATCAGGCCCTAAAACCACAAAAAGCAGAGGAGTAGAGATTTAAATTGACCGGATGTTGGTCATTTAATTAGTATTCTGGCTTTGATCTGTTTGTTCAAATCATTGGATTAACCCACTTAAAACGATCTGCGTATGGAAGGTGAGACTTAGAGAAATTTGAATAAAAAACAAACTCTGAAGCATAAAGAATGAAATCCTCAGAGCTTTTCCATTTCTATCAACTAGAAATAACTAAAGGCAGCATGAAAGAGTTGATTATCACAGTGCAGGTGAGATAGAGAAGATGAGCCTGTAATTTACTGAATAACACATAATTATGTACAGTTAAGGATGAAGATGCAGAAGGATCCGTGTCATGAAATATGCTGCAGATTAGCATGAAAATCCACTGGGGTCAATGCTTTTAAAGAAAGCAGCATGTTGACATCAGAGAGGCGCAGTAGGAAGGAAACCTTCTGCAGAAAACATGACTGTGTTGGTGCTGGATGTAAAAGAAGTAAATCTTTAAAGTACAGCAAGTAGAAATGGAAAATCTGCTGATGGACGGACTGTGAGGCTTTAAGAAGGTTATGCTGAAGTCAGAGTGAAGAGAAATTAAAGCAACAACAGCAGAGCTGGTTTTTTGGCAGAGTCCTTATTCCATGCCTCAGCCGTCTTAAACTTCTGCTCGTGTCTGGGTTGGTAACAGTGTGGCGCAGTTACTTTTAATTTAAGACTGAAACCAACATTGTTGTTAACAGGAACTGTATGAGAGCCTCAACGGATTAGTTGTCTTCTATGTTTTAATTGACACCCAAAGGCTTTAGGTGGAAAGTCAATCCCTCATTTGAGCAGCTTCAGGCATTGAGCAGCTTCAGGCTAGCCATGAGGAAAATGAAAACAATAAACTGCTGGATGGAGGCTGTGATGGGATCATCATTTTAATTGAAATGCAGGACCTTCTGCAGCTTCTGTCAAAAGACTATAGCTTACAAAAAAAACAACAACAATCCACTGGACTTTGTTTCCAAGTTTGAAGATGTTTCGCTTCCAATCCAGGAATCTTTTTGAATTCAATATATCAGAAATAGCGTTGAGTTCATGGCTTTATAGAGTGGACTAACCAAGACAAAGCCTTGTTTTTGTTTAGAAAACATACAAATTGAACCAGAAAAACGGTAGCCTCGTGAGACCATTCTGATCTTGCGAGCTTTCAAGGTTTCACTCGCAGATCCTTCTGGCTACTTTTCGTTAAAGAAAATTTGGAGCCGTTCACCAAACGAACGTCCAATCAGCGTTGGCTTTGAGGCGGGTTGAGGTGTGACGCAACGAGAAGCGCGACAGTTCAGTCTAAAGAACATGGCGGCTTCAGCCGATGAAACTAGCGTTAGCGTGGCTATCGAGCAAGATTTATCGGAATTACAGAGTATTTCTTCACTGAAAGAAGAGCAAAATACTGCTCTGGAGGCTTTTCTCAGAGGAAAAGATGTTTTTGCTCTTCTCCCGACTGGTTTCGGCAAGAGTTTGATCTATCAATTGGCTTGTGCCTGGCTTGTGGTTGTGTTTTCTTCGTCGCTCTGTTAGTACATCATATGCTTCGTTGATCTGATGGTTTATTTGGCCCGTCTATCACCAACATAGGCCAATCAGCTAACCAGTATTTTCGCCCCTTCCCAAAATTACTTCAACGGAAGGTTTCCAGATGGATATGCGGAGCAAATCCATCTGGCGGAGTCAGGTTAGAAGAACTTGTCCACCCCTTAGGAATGCACTGCAAAACATTCTAGAAATAGGTCAATATTTCTTAAATTAAATGTATTTACCCTTAATTTGAGCAGGTAAATAAGATGATCTGCCAATGGAATGAGTATTTTTACTCTTAAAATAAGATAATTAGATAATATGCACTTGAAATAAGACAATGCAGTTGTGTTTTCTTATTTTAAGTGTAAATTGTTTTGTTTTATTGGCGAGATGTCTCTTTTACCTCCTCATTTCAAGAAAAATGTCAAAAAATTACTTATCTAGATTTCGATTTTTTCCAGTGTGGGGAGTTGTTTGGTGTCTTTGTTAGCCTGTAACCTGTCTATGTCTCTGAAAGGGGGATCATTAAAGGGAATTGTTGGCCTGGCCGAACAGGCAAGGTCTTCTATTTTCTTGTAATGGGGTAGGGTGGGGGTTGAGCTGTATACCACTAAATGCAGGAAGCACTATGAGGCTTAAACTCAGCCCGAGCTGAAAAAATATCTTGCAGGACTGGAGAATCGGCTCGATAAGGGCAAAACATCGTACAGTTTATCCTTGGCGTTAGAAAGGAAGGAGAATATTGTCACCTGAGATAATGTTTCAGAGAGAAACTTGTTTAGATAGGGCTTACAATAAACTCTGTAGGCATACTTTTTCATATCCACATGGTTGAGATGCCCATAATCAAAATAATGACGGTAATTTGTTCATACCATTTAAAACCTGCTGTAAACGAACAACTCCTGGGAGAAAACACATGATGCTGTGTGTGTGTTCGGTACAAATTAACTATTGGAGCTTTCCGAAGGTAAAAAGCTCTGCCTGAATAAATGTGGACTTAGGAAGCAGATTTCATGATGCTTTGGAGTAACTGTTTCTCACATGAACTTGTGGAGCGTAGCCTGCATGATGATGGATTGTCAGTGCAGTTTGGTACAAACACTTTCTTATAATCTTTTACATAAGGTGCAAAACACACCAGCTATCCTAACCAGTTCATTAACTTTTAATTTCCCATTTGAGTAAGTCAGAAAATAGACAATAAGTTTTGTTTGATGCTTGTTGACTGTCAAGACGAAAAAGACCAACAAAACAGCTTTTACAAAACAGTCAGCTAATATAAATGAATCAAACTGTTCTTTACTATTTGATTCTCAAATGTTAAGATGGTTAAACCTCAGGACTTCTCATCTCTCATGTTTCCTCTCTGGTTTTCCACCCAGAGCTAATCGACGGGACTCCCACACTGAAAATCAACCACGGCTCGGGAACGCTGGTGCTCCAGCTGCCGGGGAACGTCGACGTGGCAGACAGGCGCTGGCATCGGCTGGATGTCCGTAGCAACAGCAAGGTGAGACGCCTCATCCGTACATCACCACCTGCTGCTGATTACAATCTGACCTGTTAGCACCATAGGCTTTATGGCTGCAGGTGTTTCATCTCCAGCAATATGCAGTGTTCAGGTTTAAAGGCAATTGATATTTAAAATGGTGAAAAAGGCTCTTAGAGTTTGATGATAGTCGGTTGTTTTATGAAGGAGGCAATAAATATTTATAAAAATTAAACTGAAGCCAAGAGTAATGAGTAACGTTTGTTTTAATAATGTAAGGAATAGAAAGTATGGTACTTGTGTGAAAATGTAATGAGTAGAAGTCAGAAGTAGGAAGAAAAATAATTAATGGAGTAAAGTATAGATATCTAAATAGTGTACTTAAGTACAGTAACGGAGTGTTTGTACTTTGTTACTTGACACCTCTGATAATAAGCAGAGTAAATAATGTTTCATGTTTAACTTCAGCCAATCTGAATACTTTATTTGGTGCAGCTAAAGAACAAAGAAGAAGAAAGTACTTTTAGTGCACGATTGCATCTAAATCACATACGTCTGGTTAATTCAGGTTATAGACTTCTATTCTTTCTCCACTCTGCTTCTTGCAAACCTCATTATTTCCATCCAAACAAGGTAGATGGGAGTGATTTTCTGTTATAAAGCTGTCTGAAATGTACAGTACAATGGCAGATAATTGCAGTGAAAATGAGACAGATGGTTACAGCAGCCTCCTCTGACACTTTAAAGTGAATTGAATTACCTAAATTGGGCTCATCTTCATTTGACTGAGATCTGCCTGAGGCTTTTCACCTCCAATGATTTGCACACATTCGCTTCTTAGGAGTTTTATTTCTCCCTCTTTAATATCAACAAGACTTCTGGAGCTCCTATTTTTAGAGACTTTGATCAAACCCAGCCTGCATACTTTGAGCTTTACTGTCTTACTTTGAGCAGACGGAGCAGCTGGACTGGCTTCATCTCCACTTTCTCTCTTCCTCACATCCCAGCTTCACCTATAGGCATCAGTGCAGACATGCAGCATGTTCCATTCTGTCCCTGAACCTTTAAAGGAAAAGTCCGGTCAGCAAGGAATGACCAACGGATCGTTATCTATTCCTAAAACTAATACGCTGGTGATTTAATGAATTTGGAGTTAATCAGTAAGAAAATAAAAATAATAATTTTTGTCACTATCACTATCTGAATATGACCAGACTTTTCCTTTAAAATGTATAAAATAGTATTTTTCTATAATTATTTTCAGTTAAATTGGATGGATTATTTGTTCGAAAATGGGACATTTTGATGAAAAAGTTTGACCTTCAAAGGAGAACATGAACTGGAATTAATTATCTTTATTGCTGAGTTGGAAGCTTGACTATAGATTAATGTTCACATGCTAATACAGCTTAAGTGGATTTTTACATACAAAACACAAGAAAAAAATTTTATTATGAATAATTAAACTTTATATCACTGAAAGTATGAGTTTAACCAGCTCAAAAGAGAAGTTCTGTGATCATAAAGCCTCCATGGACCTGATCCGCCTCCAAATTAGGTCTTCAACTTGCAACTGTTCCAGAAAGGAAAGGTTCATATTCATTCTTCATACCTTGCAAATGTGATTTCGTCTTTGTTTATTTTTGTTTTTTCAAACAGAAAAACTACTACAGGGTCAATCTGACATCATTGTGTGTATTTGCAGAGAGATTTACCTCCATGGGAAAGCAATATTCTGAACTAGATCTATGATTGGCTGCTATCAGCTCCTATTGCAGTCAGGATTATGTGACATCACAGCTGTGTTTTTTAAAATCAAATATGAATCTCTTCATTTGTCCTGAACAGTCGGCAGTAGCTGATCCTAGCTGGTGATGTGACAGCTTGAGATCAAAAGCAGCAAGGACACTGCTGTTTGCTGCAGCTTTCAGCAGCAAAGTCATGAGCGCTTTATTTAAACACCGCTGAGCGAAGCATGGGAAGAAAACGCATCAACAAGCTGGGAAAACTAGTTCCACACAATCACACTGCTTTTAGTTTCCAATAATTCAGTGATGCCCCTAGAACACATTTCATCTGGAGATAATAGCAAACTTCATGACTTTTTCTTAGGATGTAACACAATAGACAAGCTAAACATACATAATATATACGATATATTTTGAATAACAAGATAAAAAATTGGAGTAATGACCAAAAGACACATGAAGGAAAAACGCAGCAAGGGAGGAATGATGCAATCTCATAAAGAGATGCAAAGGACCTGCAAACACATAAACCGACCTAACACAGAAACACATGTAGGAGGAAAATGAGGCAAGTTACAAACACAACATTAAGCTAAGAAAAGAGCAGAAGAGCTCTAGATGATCATTAGCTCAAACAGACCCAGACGCTGAAGTGAAGATGTTAACAGGCTCAGAGAGACTTAGGGATTCCATTAGTATCAAAGGGAAACAATTCCTTTCCTTCTATTCCTCAAAATGTCCTTCGGGAGGCGCCCTGTTAGTGTTTGTGCCAACGGTCTCATCCATTAAGTGTAGTTTGCAGCAATGGTCGATGGTGAGGATGATGATGATGGTGATGATGGTGAGGATGATGATGATGATGATGATGTTGCTGTTGGTGGTAAGGATGATCGTAATGGTGATGTGATGAGGGTACAGTTGATGATGGGAATGGTAATAGTAATGATGATGGTGAGGATGATGATGATAGCAATGGTGATGATGATGATAATGTTGATGATGACGATGATGGTGGTGATTAGGATGATGACGAGGATGATGGTGGTGATGAGGATGATGGTGGTGATGGTGAGGATGGCAATGGTGATGATGAGGATGATGATGTGATTATGATGTTGGGGATGATGATGATCATGGGGTGATGATTATGATGATGATGACGATGATAGTGGGGATGAGGATGATGATGACAATGATGGTGGTGATGATGAGGACGATGATGACCATGATAGTGGCGATGAGGATGATGGCAATGGGGATGATGAGGATGATGATGTGATTATGATGTTGGGGATGATGATGATGATGAGGACGATGATGATGATGATGTTGGTGGTAATTACAATGATGATCGTAATGGCGATGTAATGATGGTACAGTTGATGATGGGGACGGTGATAGTAGTGATGATGGTGAGGATGATGATGATGATGATGATGATGATGATGATGGCAATGGTGATGATGAGGATGATGATGTGATTATGATGTTGGGGATGATGATGATGATGATGATGGTGGTGATGATGATGATGATGATGATGGCAATGGTGATGATGAGGATGATGATGTGATTATGATGTTGGGGATGATGATGATGATGAGAACAATGATGATGATGTTGGTGGTAATTACAATGATGATCGTAATGGTGATGTGATGATGGTACAGTTGATGATGGGGATGGTAATAGTAGTGATGATGGTGAGGATGATGATGATGATGGTGGTGAGGATGATGATGATGGTGGTGGTGGTGATGATGATGATGATGGCAATGGTGATGATGATGGTGTGATGATGATGTTGAGGATGAAGATGATGATGGGGTGATGATGATGATGATGAGGACAATGATGGTGGTGGTGATGATGATGATGATGATGATGATGATGATGATGAGGGCGCTTATGACGATGATGGTGGTGGTGATGATGAAGATGATGATGGCGATGCTGATGGTGGTGATGATGACGATGATGGTGATGATGATGGAGGTGATGAAAATGATATTGATGATGGCGATGTTGATGGTGGTGATGATGACGATGATGGTGATGGGGATGATGATGATGATGATGATGATGATGGAGATGATGATGGTGGTGATGATGGCGATGATGGTGATGGGGATGATGATGGTGATGATGATGACAATGATGATGATGGCGATGATGATGATGGCCATGCTGATGGTGGTGATGATGGCGATGCTAATGATGATGATGGGGATGATGATGAGGATGATGATGACAATGATGATGATGGTGATGATGATGATGACAATGATGATGGTAAAGATGATCATCGTCTTCATCCAGAGAGACTTAGGGATTCCATTAGGATCAAAGGGAAACAATTCCTTTCCTTCTATTCCTCAAAATGTCCTTCGGGAGGCGCCCTGTTAGTGTTTGTGCCAACGGTCTCATCCATAAAGTGTAGTTTGCAGCAATGGTCGATGGTGAGGATGATGATGATGGTGATGATGGTGAGGATGATGATGATGATGATGATGATGATGATGTTGCTGTTGGTGGTAAGGATGATCGTAATGGTGATGTGATGAGGGTACAGTTGATGATGGGGATGGTAATAGTAATGATGATGGTGAGGATGATGATGATAGCAATGGTGATGATGATGATAATGTTGATGATGACGATGATGGTGGTGATTAGGATGATGATGAGGATGATGGTGGTGATGAGGATGATGGTGGTGGTGGTGATGGTGAGGATGGCAATGGTGATGATGAGGATGATGATGTGATTATGATGTTGGGGATGATGATGATCATGGGGTGATGATTATGATGATGATGACGATGATGGTGGGGATGAGGATGATGATGACAATGATGGTGGTGATGATGAGGACGATGATGACCATGATAGTGGCGATGAGGATGATGGCAATGGGGATGATGAGGATGATGATGTGATTATGATGTTGGGGATGATGATGATGATGAGGACGATGATGATGATGATGTTGGTGGTAATTACAATGATGATCGTAATGGTGATGTAATGATGGTACAGTTGATGATGGGGACGGTGATAGTAGTTATGATGGTGAGGATGATGATGATGATGATGATGATGATGATGGCAATGGTGATGATGAGGATGATGATGTGATTATGATGTTGGGGATGATGATGATGATGATGATGGTGGTGATGATGATGATGATGATGATGATGATGATGGCAATGGTGATGATGAGGATGATGATGTGATTATGATGTTGGGGATGATGATGATGATGAGAACAATGATGATGATGTTGGTGGTAATTACAATGATGATCGTAATGGTGATGTGATGATGGTACAGTTGATGATGGGGATGGTAATAGTAGTGATGATGGTGAGGATGATGATGATGATGGTGGTGAGGATGATGATGATGGTGGTGGGGGTGATGATGATGATGATGGCAATGGTGATGATGATGGTGTGATGATGATGTTGAGGATGAAGATGATGATGGGGTGATGATGATGATGAGGACAATGATGGTGGTGGTGATGATGATGATGATGATGATGATGATGATGATGAGGGCGCTTATGACGATGATGGTGGTGGTGATGATGATGATGAAGATGATGATGGCGATGCTGATGGTGGTGATGATGACGATGATGGTGATGATGATGGAGGTGATGATAATGATATTGATGATGGCGATGTTGATGGTGGTGATGATGACGATGATGGTGATGGGGACAGTGGGGCGACAGTGGCGTTGGATGTAGGAGTTTGCCCTGTAATCGGAGGGTTGACGGTTCAAGCCCCAACTCCGACTTTCATTGTCGTTGTGTCCTTGGGCAAGACACTTCACCTGCATTGTCTACTGATGGTGGTCAGAGGGCCCGGTGGCGCCAGTGTACGGCAGCCTCGCTTCTGTCAGTGAGCCCCAGGGCAGCTGTGTGTGAGTGTGTGTGTGTGTGAATGGGTGAATGAATGTAGTGTAAAGCGCTTTGGTCAAGTCTCCTAACTTGAATAAAAGCGCTATATAAGTACATGCCATTTACCATTTACCATGGGGATGATGATGATGATGATGATGGAGATGATGATGGTGGTGATGATGGCGATGATGGTGATGGGGATGATGATGGTGATGATGATGACAATGATGATGATGGCGATGATGATGATGGCCATGCTGATGGTGGTGATGATGGGTGGTGGTGATGGCAATGGTGATGTGATTATGATGTTGGGGATGATGATGATGATGATCGTAATGGTGATGTGATGATGGTCCAGTTGATGATGGGGATGGTAATAGTAGTGATGATGGTGAGGATGATGATGATGATGGTGGTGAGGATGATGATGATGGTGGTGGTGGTGATGATGATGATGATGGCAATGGTGATGATGATGGTGTGATGATGATGTTGAGGATGAAGATGATGATGGGGTGATGATGATGATGATGAGGACGATGATGGTGATGATGATGATGATGATGATGAGGGCGCTTATGACGATGATGGTGGTGGTGATGATGATGATGATGATGATGATGATGGCGATGCTGATGGTGGTGATGATGACGATGATGGTGATGATGATGGAGGTGATGATAATGATATTGATGATGGCAATGTTGATGGTGGTGATGATGGCGATGATGGTGATGGGGATGATGATGGTGATGATGATGACAATGATGATGATGGCGATGATAATGATGGCCATGCTGATGGTGGTGATGATGGCGATGCTAATGATGATGATGGGGATGATGATGATGATGACAATGATGATGATGGTGGTGATGATGATGACAATGATGATGGTACAGATGATCATCGTCTTCATCCAGCTGTCTGTTTTTCTTTTTTTTTTTTCTTTTTTACTCAGACGGTATTCTGAAATTGCCAGGTGGTGGTAATAAATCTTTCTGGAAAACTCGTTTAATTCCTCCTTTCCTGCCGCTGCTGATGAGAAATTAGCCGATTAGAACTGTAAAGCTTCACTTGCACCACTGCTTGTTTGAAACAAAGTTTATAAATGAAGGTGTTGCTTTTAATGCATCTGTTTGCAGGGAAATGAAGATAAATTGATGATGATTGGTGAAGTTAAACCTTCTCTTAGGTCTTCAATCTTCAGGAAAACAGCAGTCCTCCTAATGGGGGGGCATCATCTTGTTTATTGCCATTTTATTCCTATAAACTGTGCTTTCGCTTGTCTGTGTGCAGCATCTCATCACATAAACAAATCGCTGATGTATGTAAAAGCACGACTCCAATATAAAGCCTTTCTGGCTTTAATAGTTATTGATTATGTTTTAACTACGCCACTTTAAATGAGGTGTTTGAATAGCAATTTAATTTGGGGCGTCTTGATAAAATGACCTGAATACAAAAAAATGGTTTAAAGTTGATAAATAATGTTGAATAATGGAGCCCTGAGGTTTGGAAAATCGTTGGTATAACATGGAAAGATGTTGAAATCATGTAAATATATTTTCAAAAAGATGTACAGTATTAATAACCCACACTAGATGATGTGGGTCTCAGTAACCTTTATTGTCATTAATATGCCATAATGAGATTTGGTTTGAAAAATTCCTGAAGAAAAAGTCTATGAATAATAAACATTTAAACATTTCAATCGCATTTATGGACAGAATTTTCTTTAAGTTCAGACAAGTTTTCAGGACCTGCTTATGGAAAAAATATACCACTGATAAAAACTCATTTTATTTGACTTGGTGGGCTTGAACTTTGCAGACATTTATCTTCCCATCCAGGAAGCTTTTTCAATTCAAAATGTCAGAATTAGCATTGAGTTTAAAGCTTTATATAGTAGCCAAACAAAGCCTTGTTTTGGCTTAGAAAACATGCAAATTGAACTAGAAGAATGGGTCCACTCTTTAGGAATGGGGAATCGTTTTGGGTTCTTTGTTGGCCTTCAATGCCCGATACTGGGCTATGTCTCTGAAAGGGGGGTCATTAGGGGTAATTGTTGGCTTGGCTGCCCACGGCAGAAGTTTGGTCCCCTGCATTGGGGCGGGAGGTTGAAATGACAGAGGAAGGAATCAAATCTATTGCTGCATTATAGGTTTTTGAGAGCTGGAAGCTGAGTCCACCCCCTCTGTTTAAGGTTGGTTTTTGTTTCTTAACATAGATTCCTTCCTTCACGCCCCTATCAAACCAGCTGTCTGCTTTGTCCAACATGTGAACAGTCTAGTCCTCAAATGAGTGTCGCTTGTCCTAACGGTGTAGATGTACCACAGAGTCTTGTCCAGAGGAGGTGGATCTTCTTGTTGGGCCATGCATCTCTGAAGAGGTTGTGTGGTTTTTCCAATATAAAGATCAGAGCATTCCTCACTGCATTGAGCTACAGACACCACTCTGCTCATCTAAGGTCTTGGGGTTTTGTCTTTAGGATGCACTAGCCTCTGTCTAAGGGTCTTGTTTGATTTGAAATGTTCTGTGTTTGGAGAAAATCCTCTTGAGTTTTTCAGAGACTCAAGTACCATATGGGAGGGCGATGGTTTTTCGTTCCATCTTCTCACCGTTGTGTTCTGCTGTGTGTCTTTTGGATTTCCTTGCTGGTTTGACAAACGCCCAGTTTGGGTATCCACAGATTTGGAGAACATTTTTGATGTGTTTCTGTTCTTTGTGCCTCCCTCTGGTTTTAGTACGGACATGTTCGGCTCGGTATTATAAGGTTCTGATGACAGAAAGTTTTTGTTCCAGCGGGTGGCGTTTTCCACCTTCTACCACACGCATATACAACATTGGTGTCATTTCAACTTGTTGCAAGAAGGGTCAAACATCTGCAAAACCTCTAGAAATTGGGCTATGCTCCTGTAAAGAAGGCAGAGGAGAAACGGTTTGCTACAAGTAGAAATACTAACTGGAAAAAAGAAACCTAAAATGTTGCTTTTCATAATGTTATTTCTCAAGAAGTTTTCATTGTTTTATTTTCTCGACAGGAAGTGCGTTTCACCCTGGACCGATGCTCAGGGGCAGCAGTGATGGAGAAGGAGGGTCGGGGCAGCTGGCTGACCACGGAGGACCACTCCTCCTGTGAGGTGATGGGCGTCACACCCAACATTGACAGGTACCTTAAAGATCTTAGGGAGATCTGTTTTCCATTTTCCAAACAGAGGAGATGAGAGTCAGAAGATGAAGTCAGTCACCCCCAGGGGGGGATTTACGATTAGGCAATACTAGGCAGTTGCCTATGGGGCCCCAGGTTCCTGGGGGAACTCTGTTTCCATGTATGGTTAATACAGCTATTCTTTATTTGGGCACATTAATTATGTTTTGGAAAACAACAAGAAAAGGGACAAGAAGAGAGGAACAAATCATAGAACACATAATGGATGTCTATTCTATTAAAAATTCTGCATCTGTATAATAGGTGTGTTTTATGTGTTGTCTTCTCAGTTCAGGCCCCCTGCCTGTCTTTGCCTAGGGCCCAAAATTTCCTAAATCTGCCCCTCATCACTTCTAAATCCACTTCTAAATCTTCTAAATAGAAATATTTACACCATTATATGATTTCTAAATGAGAGGCAAAATGAAGTGCAGTGCATGGGTTGGTAGTTCTGCAGAGCTACTTTTAGCAGCAGTAACTGGATTTAATCTCCATGCTATGCAGAGCTTTATCTGGATTTACAGTTTATTCCATTAATGTCAGGTAAGTTAGAGTCTAATATTAAACTTGGATATAACCCAACAATCCCCTCTTCTGTTCCATGCATTTAATGACCCTCTATGGATCCAGCTCTTGCTGTCAGACAACTTATCCTACATTTAACACAATAATTAATTTATCTTACTTTGACAGTTCCAGTGGCTTTAAGACAAGCGCTGATCATAAGCCATCCTCCACTATGCTTGATGCTCTGTATAATATGTTTGCCCTGACATTTTGTTTTTTGAAGGATTTTCACAGAAATTGATCTGTTCTTCAATTTCTTCTAGGATTTTTCTTACTTTTCTTTGTTCAGATAGAACTTTGCAAACATCAGTTATGTTGCTTATTCATAAGTCCTAGTTTTCACCTCTTCTCTACTGTTTTAGTGTTTAGTATTTTTTTTCCAATTTAATTTTAATTCAGTGTATTTCTCTAGCACCAATTCACATTCAGTCATTCAGTACATAGGTTTCTCTCCTGCTGGATGAGAAGATAAAGAAGGTAGATTTTGATTCTTCAGAAATCCCTCACATCAAGCATGCTTGCACAGACAGTGGACAGGAAAACTCTCTTTGAACAAGAAGAAACCTCCAGCAGAATCAAAACCAGGCTCAGTTTTGGTAGGCTTAAACTAACAAACACTGCAGAATGAAGAAGGATGATGAATGTCCTATGTGTTCCAGCAGTCTAAGCCTATAGCATCATAACTATAGAGATAGCTCAGGATAACCTGAGCCACTCTGACTATAAGCTTTATCAAAAAGGAAAGTTTAAAGCCTCCCCTTAAAGTAGACAGGGTGTCTGCCTCACAGACTAAAACTGTTACGGTAGTTGGTTCCACAGGAGACTAGCCTGATGATTCTTTATTCATCTATATATTAAATGGAGAGGCTCATATCTTTTACCATTTTTACTTGAAAGTGTTACAGATTTTGGGGCGAAATAGTTGCCCCACTGATTTCCAACTGAACTGAATGTTTCTCTGTACAGAATGGTGGAGGCCAAACTAGTTAAAATAGCTTTTTAACCAGTATTAGCTGGCAGCAGTTGTTTTCCTGGAATCATCGGGGGCATTCTCAGTTTCACACACCAGTGATTTTTGAACTTTTAAATTTACCTTTCTAAAGCTTTTAATGTTGAGGAGAGTAAAGACTTACTGACTCGGCAACAAAGAAATTCAATGATATAGATGGTTCGGTTCAGAAAGATCCTTGTGTGGAGTTGGCCTCACTTGCAGATGAACAGTTAATCAATTCCACTTGATTAGTTCTAGGAAATTCAGGTTGTATTTTCTTGATGCAAAGACCTTGTGGGGAACTTATTATCCCCCTTTGCCTTGCATCTTAATGTCCCTAACTCTTAACCACTTTCTTTTCAATTAAAGGATATTTGTGGCCTCGGGAATCTAGTCTGATCTAATATTCTTTCTGTCCCTTCCTGCTCAGCGTTCTTCAACAGCTTCAAGGCCATGGATGTAATTTAAGCAGCGAAATCCCTTCAAAATTTCTTCTTAGCTGCTTTGAACTTGGCCTCTTTCACATTGGTGGCCTATTATTTGATTTTTAATCAATTTGTTTTAAATTTAATTAAATCGCAGCAGTTTTGTAACATTCAAACACACAGAAAAAATACCAAGCTTATCCCAGCTGATTAAACTATTGGAGGGTTAAATCAGTCCTTCCTGACAGAAAGGAAACTTTTCTAGTGGTAGGAAATAGTTCTTGTCCTCAAGCTTCATTTATTGGTCTTTATTTATCACCGTATGGATGTGTGAAGTGTTTTACATTTAGTGCCTGATTCAAACACACTGCAGATACATAGTTATGCTACACTAAAATTAGATCAATGCACAAACACAAAAAGAGAAGCATATGGAAAATGTTGCAAAAGGCAAAAACATCCGCAAGTTAAGAAAAATTTAAAACTAGCTCCTCATAAGAGAAGAACTCCTGACCACTAGGGGGAGACAGCCATCAAGTCGTATGGGACCAGAACAAAAGCCAGGGATCCTCGTTGGGCTATATGCCCAGCTCCTTTACTCTCTCATCTTCAGTAGCTTCTTTGTTTCCTAACAAAACAAATGAATCTAGGTGTGTCTGACCTCAGTACCCATCAGGATTATAGTCCTACTAAAATTTGCAAATGTTTTTCGGAGCGCCAGACGAACATATCGCAGAATCCAACATATTGCCAAACAACAGTGCTGGAAATCGCTGCTGAAAGTACCAGAATATACAATCAAATATTTTCCACCGGCAGGTTTTAACATTTTCAGTGCGTTTATTTATAAACTGCTTCGCCATTGTTTAAAAAAAAAAAAAATCAGTCGGCCATTATAAGGTGGCCATCACTCTGCTGCTCCGTGCGCATGCAAAAACAAGGATGCTCTTCTTCTTCTTCCTCTCAGATGAAAACACAGCATCATGGCGGGGGTGCAATGAGTGAAATGGAGTTCTTTCTGTAAAACTGACAGACCGTAGTAGCCACGTTTTCTCAGCCATGTCTTTGTCCAAATACGTCGTCGTCATCACCTTTTCTTTTTAGGGTTTTCAGGTTTTGCAGCAGATTGATGTATTTTCACAGCATTTGCACTTTGGTCAGCTTCGTTTTCTATGATTTCAGCTTTTCTGTTTTTGTTTTTCTCTGTGTGATGGTGTTTGTAGACCAGACGTAGCTTCTTCCCATAACAAACTAGATTCTTTCTCAAGGTTTATTCTTAACAAGTTACTGTTAACCAAAGTGTCTAGAATTTGTTTTGACTCTAACTGCTTTCCATTGTTGTAAGTAAGGCGGAACACATGCTGCTCAGTCAGAATGGGGCTGAATACTTTACCGTATGATGAACTGTTCTCTCTTTGCAAAGATATAATGAATAAAGAGCCAACTGAGTGAAATCCATCAATCTCCGTTTATTGAACTAGGGTGAATAGTTGAATACTTTTTTATCACTACATAGCATTTTGCATGAGTCGATTTTTTTATTTGAAGTGCTTATTGTTTTTCTGCACATAAATATATAGGAGCAACACTAGAAAGCATGGGATTGTGCAGTAGAGAGTCAAGTCACACTCAATTTGGAATCCCTATTTGTAAAAGAGATCATTTAAGTGTCTTCTCCTGGTTTTAAACTAATGAGTCAATTTAAAGAGTTAACTGCTGAGTTGAGTTTGAAAAGGGCTGCTCTGTCTACATGTAGGGAAGTTTGCACATCGCTGACAGGCAGCGCTGTTACGCAGTGTCACACTGAGCTGCCTAAAGACGACTCCTGCAATATCACAATCTCTTGTACCATTCTATATCAGATTTAAGATAAAGTAGTACATCACAGCCATAACAGTTCAATAAATAGCTCATTAGGATTGATCGGTCAAAGGTTAGAAATGTGGCAAATGCTTATGTTCAGACAAAGCATCTTTACTCAGTGTTGATTGGATCAACTCTGAGGCAAAGGAGGGACGAGCTCTTCCTTAATATATGAGGGACGTTCAATAAGTAATTCCTCTGATCAACTTCCTCTTGTTTGATCTAGATGAAATTTGTATGTGCAAGTATTAATATTTCTATAGATTAAGTGGTAAATTTGAGCTCTGAAGTAAATGTGGTTTCTGATTTACTGGTGTTTGAACTGAGCCAAGTCTGAAATGGAGCCTGTTGAGTATCGAGCAGTGATTCGGTTTTTTATGGCCTTTTAAGGCCCTATGATGGAGCATCATTACCATAAGTTATTTTCATCAAAAGTCTCTTGTGCTCTGTGTCCTTTCAAACACAAAAACCAGATCACTGCCAGACACTCAACAGGCTTAATTTCACAATTGACTCAGTTCAAACAACTTTCTAAAATAATTTGGTTTCCATCCAGGAAGCTTTTTCAATTCAAAATGTCAGAAATAGCGTTGAGTTTGAAGCTTTATATAGTAGCCCAAAACCTTGTTCTGGCCTAGAAATCATGCAAATTGAACCAGTGGGGAAGAAAAAACGTCTTTAAACTTGGAAACAAAGTCCAGTGGATTTTTTTTTTTTTTTTACTTTTTTGGAATAACTATGACCTGAATGACTATTCACCAGCATATTTCAAACAACTTTAAACCCGAAAACACAATTATTTCACAGCTGTAATTTGCCACTTAATCTATAGAAATATAAATAATTGCCCAAAATTTCAGCTAGATCAAACAACTAGAAGTGGGTGAATGCCCCTCGTAAAATCGGAACATATTTACCTCTCATATATTCAGGTGTATCAGGGGCGGCAGGTAAAAGAAGCTTTCAGAGCTGTACTCTGGTGTTAGTCTGCTTGGGCAATTAATTGCAGTTGCAATATAATCACAATTTAATAAAGCACAATTTTCAAATTGCAGAGGCAATCAATCTTGGTCATTTTGCATTCAAAAAGAGTAAGTAGCTAAATTTATCTCTCTGACCTTTTAGCTAGTATTAATATGACTAAAGTGAGTTTAGAACCACAAAGACATTAAGAGAGGAGCAGGGGAGTGTGGCCTAGAGGCGGATGTAACCTAGTAGTTAGGGCATTGGGTTTGGAATCCGGAGGTTCTGAGTTCAAGCCCCACTGTCATGATCTGCCCTGATAGCTGGCCTTAATTATTCATTTCATTTATCCCCCCACCTGCCCGGTTCCTGATTGTTCCTTATCCAGGGTCTGTTCCTTTATATTCGGCTCAGCCCGGCTATCTATTCCAGATCATTGTTTGTTTGATGCCTGTTTGTTTGTTGGTTTCATTAGTTTGGTTTATTCCAAGGTTTATGTCATCGTTCCTGGCGGCCAGTGGATTGAGAGGTGTTTGTCTTGTCTCCTGATCGCTCCTAGGTGGAGACCAGTTTAAAGTTCTGCAGTTATCTTGGTACTGTAACAGTTGTAATTGTGTACTGTCTCTTTAAGATACTCTAGTATTGCTACGTGCCACTGCTTCTCTGTAGAGAGACGTGATGAGACGTGAAACTAAAACTTTGTCATGAAACATTTACATGATTTTGGTTATTGCAAAAGAAAATTGAATTACAATTGCAATATTGGTTTAATACAATCACAAGTTTTATTTTTGGCAAAATTTTTCACCTCTTACTAAACTCTCATAAATTGGCTAATTTGGGTAAGTATTATGGTTAAATGATAATAACCCCTTTATTGTCCTAGAAATTAACCAACACAAACACAGTTGAATCCCAGTCGGCCTCAGCAGATGGTCGCTCACACTGAGCCTGGTTCTGCTGGAGGTTTCTTCCCATTAAAAGGGAGTTTTTCCTCTCCACTGTCACTACAAGCATGCTTAGTGTGAGGGATTGCTGAAGAGTCAATGATTTGATGCAATCAATTGGTTTTCCTTAGATAGAAAACTTTGAATCAATCTGACTGTATGATCTAGTTGAACTGTAGAGTGCCTTGAGATGACATCATGTGTTGTGAATTGGCGCTATAGAAATAAACTGAATTGAATAAAGCATGACAGTTCCTTGTGTAGTTTTATTGCGGCTGATGATCAGTCGTCTGCAGCAGCATAGCTGGATAAGACAGGCCCTGGGAGAAGCATTTGCTCTCCCCGTTTGAAGTTAAAACAACGCAGAACATTCCTAGCAGGCCTAATGCCTGTAAGTTAATATAAATAAAATGATGACATTTACATTTTTCTAACAACAACCAACCATCTTGTTTTGGGAAGTGTGGATCAGATTCAGACTTCTGGAAACTTTCTGTCTCTGCTCTGAGTGAATTAATGAAGAAAACATTTTACTTTCAAACAGATTAATACCACCAGATACTAACTGACGATTATTAGTGCTCATACGTATTGAGAAAATGAGAAGTGTGAAAGATGAATAAACAGAAATGTTTCAGTTGCAGGTTTATTTCTCTAAGTTTTGACTACCAGAGACCTTTCGGTTTAACATGTTTGAATGTCTCGTCCACTTTGGCCTGAAATTCTTCATGCTTGTTCCCGTTTCACTGCTGATGCTTCTCTGTGTCTCTGTTGGTTTCTTAGACACCTAAACATGAGTCAAGTGCTCCAGCTTGGAGGTGTGAATGAGGACATCCCCTTCATCTATCCTCAGCTTCAGCACAAACACTTCACCGGCTGCATCCGTAACCTCATTGTGGACAGCAAGGTAACGTGCAGTTGGCCGTCCAATCACACTCTCTCACCCTCAAACAACCAAAGCAAGCACTTAAACATCAAACTCACACCTGCACTCCAGCTGATAACAGCATTAATAACACCTTCCCACATTCCCAGTGCCCGGGTGCCATGTCAGAGTATTTTCTAAACTTTTAACTGGAACCTCAAAGTCTTTTCAGATGCTACAGACCTGCTCTCTGACGGTGAAATGGAATATCAGCCTTTGCACTACTGCTTGGCCGTGAAAATCCAAAAGCAAGCCTGTCTGAACCAAATCATTTGTGCATTAGCAGAGGGCTCTGGTAGGAAACCTGTGTGTGAACCTGCAGACTTCACATGGTGACAGAATCAGCTTTTTCTGCTGCAGAAGCCGGTTAGCATGAGTCTGGGATTTCATCTACTCACTTTAAAGCTAAATGTTGGTTCTTCAATTGCACTGAAGTCTGGTTAGGAGAAAACACAGCATAAGAAATTAGCTTCTGAGACAGAGAATTTGCTCTTTTGTTTTTCTGATGCTCTTTTTTGCATTTTGAATTTGAATATTTTAGTGAATCAGAAATAGAATCAGTTATAGTGTGATTTACAATTTTGAGGCTTTTAGCGTGCGATGGACGGCCCTCCTTAAATCATACTGGCCAGAGCTCCTACCTGTGACAGTAAATAACTCAAAGAGCTCAAGAAGTAATCCAATGTTAACTACCTAAATGATGCATGCAGTATATATAGCCCTTCCTTGTTATGCACATCCTTGTGACGGTTGGCATATGGTGTCATTTTCTACTCCTTCAAACTGTAAAATCCTTGCAACAAACTAAAATAAAATAAAACTGAAATACTCTCTTAAACCAAACTACGATTCTCTTATATTTGGCGAATTTATGTTTGACTATTTTTGCAAAAATATGTTGCTGTGCATGAAGGGGTTTTGCATCTAAGCGCTAAATTTTCCCATCTTACCTGCATTGTTGCCAGGTTGGGATGTTTCCCTAGCTGGCAGATTAGGATGGCCGCCTATGAGTAAAAATAACCAAACCCAACAACCAAAGCCAGTAAAGCCGCATTATAGAAGTGTTGGTGATGGTTGAAGATAGATCGGTTAATCCACAATTTGTATTCATATTGTGTTTCACATTTGAGACGCACGTGTTTGACTGTGCTTCAAATTATTTATTTATTTATTTTTGGAAGGGGGGTGTAAGTTGGCCGGTGTAGATGGAAACATGCCAGGGCCGATAATCGTTCCCAGTCCGGGCCTGGTTCTGTCTGACCTCATTAAATGGCTAAAACATCTAAAAATATTAGAACAAAGTATGAGCATAAAACTCTATCATCTGCTCAGAATAGTTTTTTTTTTTATATAACTATCCTACCTCCGAGACGTCTACTGAATCCCAAACCGTCCCCTAACCACTGAGACTTAAATATCAGTGTCACTCCCAATGAAGTCTACATGCAACTGTGGAAGGAGCCTTTATTGAAGAGAATGGGACGCCTCCTTTCCTCCAACGGAAAAGTAAAGGAGTCGTTGCTATGGCAACACATTGACGCCCAATGTGCGTATCTGTAGCTCTGTGGCGCAGGGGGACATAAAATCAGACATTCCCCCCTTTCTTAAAACAAATCTATGCAGTCAGATAAAAACATCTCAAAGAGGACCTTCCATTTTGGAATGAATTGTTTTCCATATACCTAACTTATGATCTTGTGTCTGTGAGATGAAGATGCAGCAGAACTTACATAAGGAGGAAGCCATTAGGTCGCCATTACACCCGCTGCCACATTCCAGTGTGCCAGCTCTGATAGAGACTCGCTATAGCTGGACGCTCCACTCCCCTTACCTACTATGGGGTTTGGGACGGCCCTAAATGTAGCGGACACTCAGAGGGAACATATAGGGTTCATGTTTAGGGGCCGGTTTGGGATTGGGCCATTAAGTCTCTGAACTAAACACCTGTGCAGTCGGAGCAGCAGTGGTGCTTTTCCTTCTCCCAGTACGTGCACAACACTGGTGTCATTTCAGCTGATGGCCAGAATGGGGAAAACCTCTTCAAAAGCTACTGAACTAAAGCTTTGCTCCTTTTATCTACGACACCAGCCGCGTTTCTAAACCCTTATTTTGCCTAGCACTATTATTTGAAGGTTTAGGACAGGCTACCATGCTCCTTTAATAAGAAAAGATGACTTTAATTCAGTGAAGGTTATTGTCAGTGATTACGAGTCCTTAATGGCCATTCAGTCTATTATTCACAGTTACTTTGATCAATGAAACCATTATATTTTGTTTGATCTCAGGTTATATTTGCTCCAACTTAAACATTTTTAGATTCTTTTTTAAAAATCCAAGAGGGACACAAAGAAAACCCTATAATTGTGGTATAGAGAGGTAGCATGATTTAGCTCAGCCTGAAATCCAGTGAGGGTCTGATCAAACCCTGGCTGCTAATGAGAGAAATCTGTCTGATTTATGTGGGCGGACGAAACGATAATAAACCTCCAGAGAGAGGGAAGGGTAGGCGTAGCGATGATTAATAACATTGATGGACAGGCGTCAGCATTGTATGTTTCTGGGTTTTCATGCTCCTTCCTTTGGAGCGCTTTTATTTTTTACTCAATGTGTCAACGTTTCACTTCAATTGCCATGGCAACATCAGCGGTTTCAAACAGGGATGCGAGCCTCTGTGAAGAGATAAAGGTAGTTCACATGGATATTGGCATATACCTGTTTTTTTTTTTTTATCCTTGCAGCACCAGCAGCTCCATTAAACCCTTTAAATACAGGAGCAGTAAGCAGCGGGGGAGGGGGGAGCTGCTCTGAGGCAGAAGTCTAAGCGAAGGGGAAAAAACGGTTTTTATTTTTCCTGTCTTTTATAATTATGCTTCTATTCTCCCCTCAGGCTGTCATTCACCATTGTGTGCTTTTAAATCTCTCCATCCTCATCCTGTCATTTCCCAGATCGTCTGTCTCCTCTCAGCCTCACATTTAGATTTCTGCTGTTTGCAGATTTCTCTCTCCATTTTTAGACTAGAACTTTGCACTTCCAGCAGTTGGGGTAATGGCTTTCTGAGAGCAACCTGCTCGGAGGTTGGATTGGAGCATTTCTCAGCAAAGGAGAGTTTGACCTGCACTGAAAACATGTTTCCATGTCACATGTTCAATGTGACATGGAAATGTGAATGTGACATTTGATCAAACTCAGACTTGAGCGACTGAAAGTTTATATTTCTCTGAACTGCAGAAGGTTTCATCTGAATCACAAGCTTTAAAGGAGAAGTCTGATTGGCAAGGAATGATCAATGGATCATCATCTCATCTGTGATTTAATGAATTTAGCATTAAAGCTGCAGTCTGTAACATTGAGAAGAGAGCAGACTTCGACTGAAAATTTGAAGAAAAACAGGTTTCACGCCACTCCCCCACCCTCTCTGCTTCACTCATGCCCCACCTCCAAGCTCCACCCCTCTCGCATTGCGACCAGAAGCGTCCAAGCAGCGTACGCGGCATGGAGTGTGAACCAGTAAGAGCGATAACACTCACCTCCAAGCAGCTAGATATAAGATGCTGGTTATACCGAAGTTTGCCGTGTAAGCAGTTGTCGGCAGGGGCAGTAAGGGCAGTTTCTCTTTCGCTGGTGGCTGTCGCTCCGCCATGACTTCCACGCGCGTCCTCCTGACTGCGGCAGCCGGGCGCTGCGGCAGGTTAAGCTGAGGCGGGGGGGGGGGGGGGGGGGGGGGGGGGGGGGGGGGGGGGGGGGTTGTGATTGACACTCCATCAGACGCTCCTCTGGTTGTGATTGGTTGTTTTGACTCGTCCCGAATTATTCTTTCCAGATTGAAATACAGGCAGTATGCAGGACCAATTGAAGCAGTTTTTTTCACAGGTTACATATCACATGTACTGCTGTCTGGGCATAGGGACAGTTTTAGCCAATATGACAAAAAAGTGATTTTTAAAAACTTACAGACTTCAGCTTTAATCAGTAAAATAACATTGCGATCACTAACTCTGGGACCGGCCATTTTTGCCCAAATATAAACTTTTGAAAGTACTTTAAATATGAAATTATTACATACTGTTCAACCAATTATAGGGTTTTAATTAAGAGAAAGTTTAATTGGATATGCTTTACTGGAGACTGTTTCTGTTTATGTTTCCTTGAACTCCAGTCGGCCTCAGCAGATGGCCGCTCACACTGAGCCTGGATCTGCTGGAAGTTTCTTCCTGTTAAAACAGAGTTTTTCCTCTCCACTGTCGCTACAAGCATGCTTAGTGTGAGGGATTGTATTTGAGTCAATGAGTGGATGCAATCAACTGGTTTTCCAGAAAACTTTGAATCAATCTGATTGGATGATCTGGTGAACTGTAAAGTGCACTGAGATGAGATGTGTTGTGAATTGGCGCTATAGAAATAAACTGAATTGAATTGAATTAAAGAGGGGGGATCATCGAATGCAGCTTTTCAATGGTCAGTAGCTTCCTGACAGCTTCATCCAGTCACCTCAAAGTCTTTTGAATTTCTGCATCCTGTCTGCAGCACAAAAGGCTGTGCAGAATGCATAATAGTTCAGGGAGCCATGTTTAAGTATTCAGAGCTCCTTTCAGCAGTCAGTGCAGCCGGTCATGGAGGGTTTCCATCAGAGGACCGGTCCTGTGTTCAGTTTTATCACTGGCTGAGTAGACAGACAGAGAGAGTCGTAGTGGAAGCGTAAACAGAGCAAATATGAAGATGGAAATGAGGAGAGTACCCTCAGCCTATGTCCTTCGGCACTCTTTAAAGTTCCTTCTTCGGTTTTTCCCTTAACTCTGTTTGACTTTACTGCTTTAAAGAACTTCTTCTCCCCCTGAAGCCACAGAGCTGCTTGGATCTTGGTTCTGTTTGCTCCTCGAACCGCCCTCACTTTGTTGTTGCTGAGGATTTGTGTCTCCTGTTCATAACCTTGCTCAGTTACTGCTAGCTTCTTCCTTTTCCCACCATCAAACATCAGCTTTGCTGCCTTTTTAACCATCTTCCCCTCCTCTATCTTTTCTTTGTAATGAACTCTTCCCTCTTCTTCTTCTCTCCCTGGTTCCTCTTTCTTCGCCCTCTCCCGTCTTATTATCTCCCTCCTTTCCTCACCTCTATCTCCTCCGTTCAGCTGTATGATCTGGGCTCCCCAGCTGACTGGCAGTCCAGCTCTCCGGGCTGCCTTACCACTGATAGCAGCTGTGTCAACATGGGCTACCCGTCCTGTGGCCATCGAGGTCGCTGTCATGGTGAGTGGGGCTCCTTCAGCTGCCAGTGCGTGGCCGGATACACGGGACACCAGTGTGAGGAAGGTAAGCCAGATCTTTCAAGGACAGTTTTTCTAACTGTCCGGTCGGGGATCCTGTAACAGAACATCACAGCTACACTATAAAAAAAAAATCTAAATCTAGATAAGTCATATTTTCTTAAAATAAGTGCATTTGTTCTTGAATTGAGCAGGTAAGTGAGACATTTTACAACAGGATAAAGAAAATTTACATTTAAAATAAGAAAAAAAGTCTGCATTGTCTTATTTCAAGTGCATATTATCTAATTATCTTATTTTAAGAGTGAAAAATCTTATTCCATTGGCAAATCATCTTATTTACGTACTCAAATTAAGGGTAAATTCACTTAGTTTAATAAATATCGACTTATTTCTAGATTGTTTTTGTATTGTGGGTTAGACATGTAGGCGGCGCCCTTGCTCAGAACTTAGTAGAGGCGCTACGGGTAAAGTTGCAGACATCGAAGTGGACTGGACAAAATTAAAGTAAGTAATCTTTTCTTGAAATAAGTGCATTTGTTCTTGAGTTGAGGAGGTGAAAGAAACATTTTGCCAATAGAACAAGACAATTTACACTTAAAATAAGAAAACACAATTGCATTGTGTTATTTCAAGTGAATTTTATCTAATTTACCTACTAAAATTAAGGGCATATCCACTTGATTTAACCACCTCATTTTGGGAAATCCTCGCCTATTTTGCATGCCCAACTGGAAAAGCAAATAACTTAGGAACTGTAAACCCAAATTACATGTACCCTACATTATTTGAAAGCTAACACCCTCTAGTTTCTGAATATATATATAATGTATTTTTTTACAGTACTGGTTTGCCACAGGGATCCTAACTTGGTGCCCTATAATATAAATTTTTTATCAACAAACTCCCTTTTATATTCGACTGTATGCGGATGATACCATCTTCTGCTATTCCAAATCCAGTATCACTGACATTCAGTTTCAATTTGACACAGTACAGATCTAACTGTAAGAACAAAGATTCAATTCAATTGTATCTAATGATTGTAAACTAAACTAAATTGTAATCAGTGTTTCAGTTGTAGTGGCATAAAAGGTCCTCTGTTTCCATGATAGGTCCTTGACTGGTCCTTGACTGGAAACCAACAGGTCCATCTTGGTAATATAATCCCTGAGATGATGATGTCATTAAGGCCACACCCCTTAGCCAAGCTGTATACCAGAGATACCCTTTATTCCAATAAATTGAAGTAGTTAAAGTAAACATGGAGGCTCCCAGCAGAAAGGGGGGGCTACTCCACCGGCTGGAAGTTGGCTGGAAGCTGAGGGCCATTCGGCTAGTCGACCTGAAGGGGGACTTTGAAACTGGGACTACTGTATTTCAGAAGGAAAATTCAATATCTGGCTTATCCTTGCATGCTAAAACTCTACGTTCATTTTCCAGTTGAGCCATTTCAATATTCAGGCCTCTCGGTTTACCCTTAGCTTTCTCTTACCTCTCATTTACATTCTGTTTAGTGTTGCGCCCATGCCCTTTTTGGCCCCTATACAGATATCCGATACCCGGCTGTGCAGTATTGACTGATTCCGATACCAGACATCCCAAGTCTCCCGGAAGATCCAGGAGACTCATTGATATAGATAGTTGTTAACTGATGCCCGCGAGTCGGATAAACTATCCCGGATTTTACACTCTGTGAGGTGGTGTTTTTTAAGGCAAGTGAGAGCGGGCAGGCAATAATCCGTGCATCATGTGAGGATTAGAACTACTTCGATTGCGCAGACAATAAGAGAGAGAGGAGTGTCAGGAGGAGGTTACTTGTGAAACCTGTGCAGCGTATCTGTCCAAAGTGATGCTCTGTTCAACCAGCGTTCTAGGCGACTGGTTGTCAGAGAGCTGATTGGATCAGCCCAATAAGTTTCCCGTTACTCTCTGGCAGTCACCTAGTTACCACTCAAAGCTGTGCATCCTGTGAAACGGCTGGGGTTGATTCCTCAAGTAAAAAACAAAAATATAGGACTAATTTTACAACAGAATTTACTAAAGTATATCCACATCTAGTGAAGGTGAGGAACAGTGGCGGATCTAGACCAGGGGGCCAGCGTGTTTTCATGGGGGCACGGAAAAGCATGAAATAAATAATCAGGGCAAGAGATTCAAATATATAAAGAGAGCTGCATGAAGTGAAAATTCTTTTTAATTATGTTCAATAAAAATTCTATTTCTTATGAGGTCAATATACATTTATAATTTGGGAATTTTACATATGTTTGACTTAATTTAAGTTAAAACTACTGTTTTCTATAAATTTTTAATTTGAACTCAAGAAAAACTGTTAAAATTATCTGTAAAAATTAGAGGATTTTTTTTATTGTTTATGGAAAAAACTAAAACATTTAGCAGATGAAAACTGGGATCCTTTCTCAGTACCACTGAAGCTATTGCCTTACTGTTTTTGAATAATTAGTAAATCAGAATTTGTAAAAATAAATAAATAAAATAAAAAAAAATAATAAAAAAGAATGAAGTATTTCAAAAGGACCTATCAGTAACCACGTCTGTTCCAGCGCATATCATCATTAGAATTTCTGGCCCCCGTTGGCCCCTGTCTAGAACCGGCCATGGTGAGGAATAATGACACAGTGGCGAGGTGCACTGTATGCTGAAGTCCCATGAAAAACAGAAAGCACAACCGATGTTCGAGGCTACAAGATTGAAAGTATTGGAAATTGAAAATAAATAATACTAATACTAATACTGTTCTGTTTTGTGTTTTAAGAAATTAATGTTAGTTAGTGAAAAGTTGATGAGAGGTTGCTGCCTTAAGTGTGTGTATGGGGCACGGTGCAGGTCTGTTGTACCCGGGGGGGAAACCATATGTTTGAAATGAATGTGTGTATATATGAAGAACTGCAGACTATTTGGATGTAAAATAATTGCCATCATGGCTTTGTAAAAGCTGCTGCCTACCTTTGTGAATCAGGAAAAAGATTAAAGACTATGACTAAAGTGAATCCATCAGAACTTTTTATTGCCTACCTGGAATGGGTGACAATAGTTGAATAAACATTTGGCTCTCAAAATGGTATTGGTGCCCTATTTGTCGGCACACGCCGATACCGCCATTTTAGTATCAGGGCCCCGCCCTATACTGGAATCGGTATCGGTGCACCACTAATTTTCTTACCACTAAAATGACATATCCTTTGCAATGTCTGAGTCAATCAATTATTGTAAGTAAAAGACTATATCTACTGATCTCCAACCAATTGATCTTGTCTATATCAGTTTTTGCAGGTTTAATCTTCGATACTGTTTCAGAACCAACATCAGTTTTGAGTCACTCAGCCTCGAGATGACAATTTCACGGGTTAATATGTATATTTAGTGTATTAGTTAGAATTATCCTGATTATCAAAAAATCATAAATGATTGAGATTAACTTCTTGTGTAGTTTTAGACCCCAGTTTTAGTTTAAATGTTTGCTGTTTTCCCAGAAATCAAACAGAATTTAGAAAATTTTTATTTACCATTATTTACCTTTTGATTGGTACAGTCCACCATCTGCTCTATGAACTCTGTTTATGTAGGTTTCTCAACATTTTCTAAACATTTGAATCCTTTTTTAACCATGTCTTCACGTGTGTGATAAGCTTTATATTGTGTGAAGTCTAACTAGATCTTTATTTTAGAGCTTTGTGCTTCTGAATGTTTGGTGTGAATGATTGTGTGTGTGTTTGTATTTTTCCTGAATTGGTTCTAAATTACAGGAAAATACAAACTATTACTAACTACGTTTCAAACATTCAGTAACTCTTGGTCCAAAGCATACATTGGTGTCTCTTTTATTAAAAACGATGGGGAACGTTTGTGAGGAGTGACCCATTTTCCATCCTATTGATAAGCAAAAAGTGAATTACATACGACAATGATATAAACTACAATCTCATTTAAATTAAACAAGAGTAATGTTTGTGTATTTTACTGTATAATATACTTGAAAAATGCTATCAACTGTCTTTTTTTATTGTTTTTTTTTTATACCAGAAGATTGAAATCTATTCAGTTCCCTTTTTGACATCATGGCCTCCATTTTCTTCCCCCATGGCTTCCACTGAGCAGATCAGCGGCCAGTAGCTTCTCCCTACCTGCTGCTGCTGTGTTGCTCTCAGAGAACCAGGCGGCATCCTGGCAGCTCCCATATTTAGGACCCTTCTGGACTTGTGAGCTTGCCCATTCTAGCCGCATGGCTGTGGAGGCGTTGGCTTGACGGCAGCAGTTGGAGAGGCCCGTTGCAATGAGCTGAGCTTTTTAATGATCCTGGCCAGTCACCCCACATGTCCCATTTTGAGGAGTGTACCAACGCTTTCTGCTGACCGCAGCACACTGTTCCAGGCGTCTCCGTCCTCCTCCTCTGCCTCAGACTGACACTAATTGACAGGACTTTTCTCACACGCCGTAGAACCAGTAACAGTATAGAAAGCACATTGTTGTCATAGAAATATCACCCGAATCCAAACCCTATATTCATACAGCCTTGTTCAGTTTCTAGACGTTAGCCAATAAGGACTCTTTATTATCAATGTGAACAGCTTCTTGAGCCACCGGTGGCAAGCGTCAAACATCCAATGATTTAATGAGCAAAAAGATGAATAGATGAATGATAAACATCAATTAATCACTCCTGCTATTCATGGGATGACTTGTTTTGTTATTCACCCAAGCAGGTCACATGACTGAGTTTTGGCAACCAGTAAGAGGCTCTTTGGAAGAGAGACGTGTTGTTTATCTGGCTTTTATTTGGACAGAGGCAAAAGCAAAGGAAGCTTTTGTTTTCTGGCTCATCAGGTTCAGACTCTTCGGCAGTGATTCAACTTCAGGAGTCAGAGTCTTTCTTTGGAGATTTATTCCTATCCGTAATTTTTGCTGGTTTCATAATCACTGTCATAATTGTTCATTTCTTAATTGCAATACTTTCCAATCAACAAGAGATTATTGCACAAAAGAGGATAGCCTTAATTTAACAGCCTTTACAAATCCCACGTATAAATGGGTAGAGTGTGTCTCTGTCTCAAGAGAAGCGATTCCAATATCTCTGTGTCTTGTTAACGAGAGATGCCAGAATTGCTTTGAGGCTGATGGATAGCCCTTCTCCATGGTCCATAAAAGTCCACAAAAAACGTGGCAATATTCCTCCATACTGCTCGTCCAATGTATTCCAAGTGTCCTGAGTGGGCAGTGTCCATAATTTACTTGAAATGAAGTCATTTAGAATGTTTTTAGAGCATAAACAGTAGTGTATAGGATTTCCTAAAAGCGCGTTCACGAGTCTACGGAAACCGCGGCAGACCAAACCAGATGAAAGTGCGCATTCAGCGTCTGCTCTGCCGATAATGCAAGCGTAGAAGAAGAAATGTGCTGTTTACCTGTGCAAAGAAAGAAACAACGAAAGAAAAATGTCTGAGGACTTCAGTGTTGAGGAAGAGCATGAGTTCTTTGCCGAGCTGAATGCGCACTTTCGTCTGGTTTGGTCTGCTGCGGTTTCCGTAGACTCGTGAACGCGCTTTTAGGAAATCCTATACACTACTGTTTACGCTCTAAAAACATTCTAAATGACTTTGTTTCGAGTAAATTATGGACGCTACCCACTCAGGACACTTGGAATACATTGGACGAGCAGTATGGAGGAATATTGCCACGTTTTTTGTGGACTTTTATGGATCTTTCTGCCTGGGGCACCATAGACCTCCATTATTTGAATGTCAGCGGACAGCAAGAAGCCTCCCAGATCTCCAGATGCATTTGAGATATCAAAAAAGTACTCCAGAGTGTTGTTCAGCATGGGGGTGAGTAGAAAATGAAGGCTAATCATGTTTTGGGTGTACTATTCCTTTAATGTCAAGAAGATGCACATGTGCCAATAAAATACCAGGCACTTCTACCGCTACCAAAGCAACTTCGTAGGCTAAATGCAATTATTTTTTTGGTCGCGGGTCATTAAATAATTCCTTAATTCAAGAACAAAGTGCATTTGTTCTTGAATTAAGGAGATAAAAGAGACATTTTGCCAATGGAACAAGGCAATTTAGACTTAAAACAAGAAAACACAACTGCATTGTCTTATTTCAAGTGCATATTATCAAATTATCTTATTTTAAGAGTGAAAACACCCATTCCATTGGCAAATTGTCTCATTTACCTATTCAAATCAAGAGTAAATACACTTAATTTAAGAAATGTTTACTTTTTTCTTGATAGTTTTTTCCAGTGAACAAGCATCAATATGTGACGAGTTGGGAATGAGAATGTGTTGCTATATAACACCAGTCAGAGGCCTCCCCCTACCCAATGGTGAAGGGATGTGATGATGTTGTCCACCTGTTTAAGGTGGATGAGCTAAGACAAACTGACCGATCCACCCTCCGCCTCTCCACACAGGCCTCTCCAGAGTAGAGAAGTCAAACCTTTCTGAAGGAGCTGGGCTCCAGAGCCCAGGCTTTGTGTGGAAGCGAGCCCGACTAGTTCTTGCTGGTGCCACTCCATGTCCCCATTAGACTCCTTCTCCCCCAGCAAGGTGACATTCCACGTCCCCAGAGCCGGTTTAAGCATAGTACCTATGGATCCGGTGGAAAAGGCCTCTGCTTCAGACTGCTGCCATATCCTTTTGCACCTGTCCCTCATGGTTCCCCATGCAGGTGGTGGGCCCACTGGGGGATCACTCCTTTTCAGTGGTGTCAAGTAACGAAGTACAAATACTTTGTTACTGCACTTAAGTACCCTTTTTAGGTATCTATACTTTACTCCATTAATTATTTTTCTTCCTACTTCTGACTTCTACTCATTACATTTTCACACAAGTATCTGTACTTTCTATTCCTTACATTTTCAAAACAAATTTTTTCGCTACTCTTGGCTTCGGCTTTATGTTTCTAATTATTTATAAACATAAATGTCTATTTCCCGTCATGTGCGCCATTCATTGGCTCCATCCACATCTATTGAAAACTAGTGTCATTGGATGAGTCATATAACGCAAACACTCATTGGTTAGCTAAAGGAAATCATCAGAAGCCAGTGGGTGTTCTTGAAACTGCAAATGGGAATCATCTATTCTATGCTACAATGGCAGAAAAAGATTTTGAAATGTCTTAAAGTTCGGACACAGGCGAGAGCATATATTGAGATGGAGACGGAGAGCAACAAGACCTCCCTCATCCTTGGTCCTAGCTCAAATAATTTTTAGAAATAGTCAAAAAATTGAGCTTTCAATTCATATAGTGGCAGCTGGAACACATACTTTTTCACTTCTAGGTCAGGTTGATACTTCAACTTTTACCAGAATGTTTTTAAACTGCAGTATCTATACTTTTAATTAATTAAAAAATGTGTGTACTTGACACCACTGCTCCTTTTGGCTGGGCTGTGTCCAATGAGAAGGAACTTGAACACAAGGTGCTTGTCAACAAAAAGCCAACCTGAGGTCTGGTTCCTGCTCTGCTGTACCAGGTGACATCACATCCATGATTTTACTGTATTTTAGGGGCTTTTTTAACACAGGTCTGAGTTTGACCACAGCAGACTCAGACAAAGGGCTGTGTGCAGTGGGAAACCCTACAAGGGGCTTTAATTCCTGACAACATATCCTGTGGGATCATTCAGGCACTGAAACCCCTCCACCACTTTAAGGTGAGGGTTCAACAAGAGGTTAAATCCAAATTAACAAGATAATGGCTGTTAAATGTGCTATTTAACTATGTAGTCTTACTTTCTTGTCAATCATTTTAATTACTCATTTTTATAATCTTCATTTATTCATGCTCAGTAAATATTTAATTACCTTTTTTCCACTGCAGCATCGTTCCCTGTTTTGTTTCTTTTACTTTTTCACTGACAGTTTTTGAATTATCTCGCTTTTTAAATGTGCTATCTGAGTAAACTTGCCTTGCCTTCAGCATTTGTTTAATATGAGCTAATTTGTATTCCAGAGGTTCCAGAGTTTTCCTTCGACGGCCACAGTCATGTGCATTACAAGCTGCCGTCTTCCCTGCCTGCCCGCAGAACATGGATCCAAGTCCTCGTTCGAACTCGTAAACACAGCAGCATCATCATCAGTTTGGTGTCGAGGGACCAGAGTGAATACCTGCGACTAGAGGTGAGTTGGCTGTGCAACCACATATAGGGATGTTTGCCTTCAGATTAAAATATAATTAGCAATTTTCACTAAAGGACAGACGTATTCTTCCTTCAGTCTGGATGTGACAGAGGACAGCTTTTTTCTTTATACTGCACGTAACGTTGTTCTTGATCAAAGCCCTTTGAATGGTGAGTTCAATGCTTTAGAGCCACAAAGCTCTCAGTAGTAATCTGATCATGTAACACAGGCGCCGGGTTCTTCTTGGAAAATCATAGCAATATATGCGGACAAAAAGATAGCAGGTGTATATCTGATGAGCTCCTGCTGTGTGTTTGCTAAACTTGCTCCTTCTTTATCTGTATGTGTCTGTGCAACAGAAAAGATATGCATGGAGCGCTATAGCTAAACTGTCACAGAGGCAAGTATTTATCTGTTTTATAGGCAGTTTTTAATAAGATGGTTGAACCATAGCCTCACAACTGGATGGATCTAACATGAAATAATCACATTTACTTAAGTACTAACTTCTTATTTTACCTTGGTTAAAACATTGAAAAGAATTTGTTTCCACCGATGTAGTTAACTTTATATTTAGCAGCACTTTTTCAAGGAGGAAAAGCTAAGATAACCATTGCTGGACAGGTTTTATTTATTATTTCCATCATGATTAAAGAAGGGGGAAAAAACTCAATTTATGTTAGATCAATCTCAATCTTCTGATGTATTGACACTTAAAAGCAAGGCTTGTTTATTTCTATAGCACAATTCATGACAAGGACAATTAAAAGTGCTTCAAATTTAATAAACATTTAAATAGAAGAAAAATAAAAGCAGAATAAAAGCAAAAAAGGATACTAAGAGGATGATCTTTTATTTTTGGGTCGATCATCTCAATAAGTGGTCCTCCTAATTGTCAATCATTACAGACATGTTTACATAAGCCCGTCCTATGTGCTCAACCCGTTAGCTATCTTTTCTGAGCATGCGCACTTTGAGGCGTATATCTGTGGTGAGCTATGGTTTCAGACAGTCATTGAAGCTCACCTTTCTCACCGCGGTTCTTTGAAAATGGCCGAGGGTCATAAGAGAAAAAGTGTCTACGAAGTGTATGAGAAGAGAAGAAAGGCCTCAGAAGAGGCAGATAAATCCCAAAATGCTTTGTGCAGAGAGTTCTCTTGGCAAAGCATTATGGGATTTTCTGTCACAGCGGCCTGCTGTTGCCATAGGCTGTCGCTACACGACTGCGGCTACTAATAACAAAGATGGCGCAGGCACCCCACAGTGGAAGAGGAGTTACGTAACCAACATAAAGTAGTGATCATCAGTCTGAAACGTCAGTCAACTGAGTTCACTATAAAGTCCACTATATTGTCCCCGCTCTATTTAGTGATGGAGGGGCTAACGTTAGCCCGTCTGCAGCAGCCAGGGCTAACTTTAGCTGGTCTGCAGCAGCCAGGGCTAACGTTAGCCCATCTGTAGCAAACAGGGCTAGCATTAGCCCGACTGCAGCTGCCAGAGCTAACGCTAGCCATTCCGCAGCAGCCAGGGCTAATATTAGCCCATCTACAGCTGCTAGAGCTAACGTTAGCCCGTCTGCAGCAGCCCTCTCTCTCCATAGCCGTGTGGGAAGTACCGAGTTTTTAACTGTGTTAATTATTTTTCCCCACTAAATGAAAAAGTCAGAATTTATTATTATCTAGAGACTATGAATAACAGGAGGTGAAATGCAGCTCCAGACGAGCTGAGCGTGTGGTGAGGTCATCAGTACGCTTCTGTTCCAATCGACCAATATTTTTGCTGCGTGCCCCCCCATCTCCCAGAGTCCGCTCTTTCCTGTGTTCTCTCAGGAACTCAAGTACTCGTGTTTTTGTGAATTTTTGTGAAACGGCTATCCTGGGAAGGAGGCAGCTGTTAGATTCATTTGATTTTAAAAAAAAAACAACAACAAAAAAGCCTTGCTGTCTGCACACCTCTAGAAGTTCTGCTTTTTAAGAAATGATGTAGCTTTGAGCACTAATGGATGCAAATCGTTCCTAGTCCTCAGATTTAAAAAGGGTTAAACCTATGTAACCGGTTAACATCGGTTGAGGTATTTAAACAGCCTGCATGTATTCCTCCACATCATCATGATTGTTAGTCATTATTATTGCTGCAGGTCTTCTGACTAGAAAGACAAGGTAACCAAAATGCTTTGATATAGACTCTCCAGCAGTAGGATAGTGGTTGAAATCACCGTCAGATCTGAATGCATTAAAACATTTGTTGTTGTTTTTCTTTTCCTCTGGGCTTCATTACACCCACTCCTCTACTGGATGTTCTGTTCACACTTCTTCCTTCATTGCTCCTCATGCATCTCCACTTGACTTACTGTCTCGGGTCACGTGACGCCTCTCTTGCTTCCCGGAAGCCGCTCCTGTTTGCCACCCCACACTGTGCATACATGTATTGATCAAACTTCAGTGTCTAACTGATGATGATTACAGGATCCATATCGCAGCCTCCATTAGAGTCCAACCTCTCCCACCGTTCCCGTCTGTCACCCATCTGTTTCTTCCTTCGATTAATCCGTTTCTACCCTTCCTCTTAAATGTCACGCTGCGTCCTCAGCACGGCCACATGGGGAGCAGGTTCACATCGTTTATCCACTACATAAAGTGCATTTATTCCTTGGTGCAGAGAGCGTGGGGATATGTGACTCTTATGAAATAGCTCCCCTGCAGTGAGACACGTTATTCTGCCTTGGTCTCTGCTAGGAGTATCAGCATAATGCTGGGAGGGTTACAGCATTCTCAGTTAGCTTTTGATCAGAAGCAGGAATTAGTGGCAGTTAGTCTTGCCTAGATTTACTTTCAACTTATTGGGGGGCATCTGACTGTTTGACTAAACATGAATGAAGCTTTCAATTAGAGGATTTTTTTTTTAAGCTCTGCAGATTTACTGTATAAATCTAGCCTGTAATATGCAAACACGAAACATAGCCTGAACTTAACACATGCCAGTTTTCATGTCACATTAATTAAATGAATTGTCTCTAAAAGTTCCTTTAATTCAATTCAATTCAGTTTATTTCTATAGCGCCAATTCACAACACATGTCATATCAAGGCACTTTACAGTTCACCAGATCATCAAGTCAAATTGATTCAAAAACCAGTTGATTGCATCAACTCATTGACTCTTTAACAATCCCTCACACTAAGCATGCTTGTAGCGACAGTGGAGAGGAAACCTCCAGCAGAACCAGACTGGCAAGGCTGACTGGGGTTCTCTTTTTGGAACATAAGGAACAATCATGCTTTAAATGTGAGAAGGAGGATTTTAAATTCTATTCTGGATTTAACAGGAACCCAATGAAGAGAAGCCAGGATAGGAGAGATACAGTAGTAGCCATTGAAAATTTCCTCAATTTCCTTGATGGGCCCTTGCCTGGTCCCCTAAAATTCCCTTTTAAATATCAATCTTTGAACTAAAATATTCTTTCTGTCATGATCTATGTACATTATGATCTAAAGAGAAGTCTCATCTCCTGGTCAACCCTGTAATTTAGTGAAAGGGTGCAGTCAGAGTAAAAAATACACAAGAGGGGGTCACTTCAGTGCCTGGAAGTTGAATGGAATATCACTTGGAGTTGCAGGGAAGTGGGCTGCCATTCGGCTGGCTTTTGATTGGGAAGGGCCATTTTCAATGGCTGCTACTTTATGATCTCTCTATTTTTACCGTAATATTTATAAGAATCTAGCTGCTCCATGAGCCTTCAGATGACTGGTTGTGAATTGACGATGTATAAATAGACTGAACTGAATAGAAATTAAATATTGGAGATATAGACACTGTTTACCGGTGGGAGAAAACTTTTTGCCCCCATTCAGATTACTTCTGCTTTTCTGTCACACTGAAACAGGATATCTGATGTGCTAAGATAGTTACTAATAGTTAACTGGTGTTCGTCGTCTCCCGCTTCATCCAGAAGTGGATCTTTAAAAAATATCAGTATTATGTATTAATAATGTGATGAAGGTACATAGACACCTCATACTGGTTTGTTTATTCCCCCATTTATCATGGGCTTGGTATCCCATCATAATGTTCACCATGTCCATGCTAGGTGTAAAATCAGACTTGCCATCATATTGTAAAACTGTCTGAAATGTAAATGTGAGCTGTAGGTTTTCTCCCGTTATCACTTCCAGTGCCTCAGTTAAGAAGATTTAATAAATTGTCATCTCCTTTGAGGAAAGGTTGGGAGCATCCTATTCTGTCTTACCCAGGTAGTGCCATTTAGATTTCTTCAAAGTCACAGGGACAGCGTGTAACCCAACATTCTCTGATTAGGATAAGGCATTAAAATGCTGCTCTGTCATTTTGCTGCTTGGTAAAGGTCACACTGCTGAGCTCATTTATTTTTACAAGGCTTTCTGCATGTAAGAATGAAATACTTGACCAAACTTGTCAGTGCCCCACTCTGCAGGTCAGTTGAACTTCGTGGAATAGTTAGGGAAATCAAATGTCCTAAACTGGAGCTGTGCTTTAACATTCTCAAACGAGATTTCAGTATCGTCCAATCTAAACACTGGTTAATTGATTGTGCAGATTTGACTCACCGGCTTCAGTAGCTGGGCAGAACAAATAAATGACATAGAGATGACTTATTGACTCCAGATCCCCCATCTCTGGGCATTGTCATTGAATTATTAAGTCTGAAAATCAGGAGATGGGAAAGTTTCCTGACTTGACCACTTTTTCGGCAAAGGAGGAAGCAGAGACTATCTTTATTTAATCAAAATCCAAGAAAATATTGTAAACAAAAGATAGAGTGTGAATGCTCTGTAGAGGTTTAAGGATTGCTTTTAAAAAGCGGTTTAAATTTAGCCCTAGAAGGACTGTTTTTTGGTCCTACCTCCTGGCAGACACAGGCCAGCGGACGCCTTCTAAGATTGTTTACCCCTCCTAAGATGGCAGAAATCATCACTAGGCTCGCACTCTGATGTGTGACGTCACTGTGATGCTAACTATAGCAGGTTGAGGTGAGGGGAGATGGAGCTCTGTAGTTGATCCTAGCAGTTCCATGATGGAGCTGAGAAATTACTTCTTGGTGACTGGAACTACAGCTGGCTGGCAGACATTACAGAACACAAATAGACGAGCGTGTTTGCAACATTTGCTGGTTGGAAGGAATTAAAGTTATAGACATCTTTAAATTAGGCCTTAAAATCCCAGCATTAGCAAATTGTAGTATACTTGAAGTAAATTCTATTAAGAATACTTAAGTATAAGTATAAGCTTAGAAAGTATACCGAACAATGTACTTTTAGTGTACTTGAATTATTACTAAAGTAATACTTCTTCGAACTAAATTGGGACATTTTTAAGTTTACTAAAGTATACTTTGTCATGATGGGTTACAGAGTAAGCCCAATATGCAGAACACACACGGAGGCAGGATAAAAAGTTTAACAAGGTTTATTGAAAACACAAGCACATGAATATTGTTGTATGTTTCTGTGTGACAGAAAGGCATTGAGGAATATTTTTCAGATGAAATCACTGTTTAAAATGTCACTAAGTCTGATTTATAGGTGATTAAACAAAAAAATATATATATATTGAGCTTTAACGAAATTTTTCTCCAAGAAAACGCTGCAAACCACCATGAAAAAGATAAAATTGTCCAGACAGCTGTTTCAAACAAATTTCTTTTTGTTTTACACTTGTGTAAGCAAAATGACAAATAAAATCTGTCTAAGTCTAAGAAACCCCATCTGGAACTCTAGATGAACACTCAGACTCTATAGATCCACATCTTGACTATAAGTCAAGTAAAGTTGGACTGAATAAGATAAAGCATGTTTTTTCCACAAAGGTTTTAGTGGGCAGTGTGACACAATGCCAAATGTGCAAAAATGTATTTTTCACTCATAAAAGGTAATCTGGTCAGACAAATATGCTGATTTAGATTATTTGAGACCTTCTGCATGAGGCTAAGATTTGGCTGTTATTTTATTGACATTTACCAATAATATCACCCAACTGAATAAAGAATAATAGAGCAAGCTTATGTAATGCATTCCAGTTACATCACCTGAAATGGTCGCACAATTACCTCCAACCCCTCTTTGGAAAGGTCTGAGCCTATAGTTTCCATTTATGTCATTGATGCCATTAGGGGGCGTGGCTAAAAATGAACACCTGCTGTTGCATTGCTCCGGCAGGGTCGGACATGTCAGGTGGAATTTTAAATCTCATTTGATTTGTTTACACATCTATAAAACAAATTGTATTTGTAAAAAATAATTTTTGAAACATGTTTTAGAAATGTTAAAGCCCCATTTGAAAGACGTATGGATGAAAGACCGTGTGACTGTGTTTTGGCTATTTCTATAAATAGATAAACATCAGCAGGTGTCAGTTGGGCCCTGAGGGATTACTCTCTTCCCTTCTGTGTAACTGCTGAGTGCAAAAAACGGCTGCACACCTTCCCACAGACATAGTTGGAGCTGCTCCTGTAGAAACTTGTCAAAACATTCACTACCTTCCCTTACTTGCCACCAAGGGAGCAAAGCGGGAGTCAAATCGCACCGTTCGGCTTTAATTGAGGTTAAATCAGGTGGCTGTGAGCAAGCCTTGTTACAAAGCTCTGCCCTGGTGGAATGTGAACGTAATTATTAGCTCATAATAGAGCCTTGGAATGAGCCTCGATCCAATGCCAAACAACTTTGGAGCCGTCTAACACTACTTTGCTGAAAGACAAAGTGGGGAATTGTTAACAAATGAATTAGGAGGCAGAAAAACAGCAAAGATATGGACATTATTTGGTTACGAAATTAGGCTAAATATCTCTGCTTCTGAAGGTCTTCCTTCAGAAACCTGATTTCTCTTTATAATGCTGAGCAGAAGTGGTGAAGTTAATGGTAACCTCCCACATCTCCTTCATATCTTTCCTCCTTTGTCTCAGTTCCCCGCCCCTCTCGTCTCTGCTCTCTGTTTACGTGGTAGCAGCGGCAGACGAAGATGGAGGGGAGGAAATTATGCTCAGTGGGACACTTGGAGGATCAGTTTGAAATTGAAATGAGGAATACCAACCCACCACCCTTTCTCAAAACAGCCTTCGGACATATTCCCTCTCTATCCTACTCTCTCCTCGCCCCTCCTGGACTCCCAGCCCTCCCTGCTGAATGAATGAGACGAAGGCGTTAGCATTAAAATAAAGCAAGAAAAAGTGGATCTGTTTTTATATCAGGTTCTGGGTGTAGTTTGTTTGAATAAATGTGTTCATTCATTTCTCTCTCTAATTCCCTTATCCACTATACTAATCTTCACATCTTTCAGTGGCATATTTTGTCCTTACATTGGAGTCTGTATGTATATTGCATATCTTTAATAAGAGCAACAAGTTCCTAGAGATGTAAACAAAATGCCTAAATGACCTCATCGATCTACTGTAATCCTTCTCAGACCAAGGGGGGCTTTATGTCTTTTTGATGTGTGCCACTGAGCCTCGGTCCCTAATAACTCTTAGCCACTCAACATTTACTTCAAATGAAGTTAGAAATATGTAGAATGTTTTTCAGTGTAGCCCTGTTTCTAAAAAGCAGAAGTACACTTATGGCCGCTAACACTTAGTCTGGTTCTGATGGAGATTTCTTCCTGTTCAAAGGGAGTTTTTCCTCTCCACTGTCACTACAAGCATGCTTAGTGTGAGGGATTGTCTTCAAGTCAACGAGTCAATGCAATCAACTGGTTTTCCTTAGATGGAAAAGTTTGAATCAATCTTACTGGATGCTCTGGTGAACTGTAAAGTGCCTTGAGATGACATGTGTTGTGAATTGGCGCTATAGAAATAAACTGAATTGAATTTTGTAGATATCTCTAATGCAAAATGGTTCCGTATTTTTCCTTTGGTCTCTTGTCTCCAAAGACAGATGGAGTCCAGAGAATGGCTTGCTTTTATTTGCTGTGATAAGTGGGAAAAAGTAATTTTTAGATATCTTTAAACCTCACGTGTCCACCATAGACTTTGCATGTAAATCAGTGAAAACATGTTTGAATGCGCCATGAGTCACTTACTTCAGTTTTATCCGTCTTTCTTGTGAGGTGGCTGTTTTCTCCATCTCCATATTTATGTTTTTTTTTCCATCTCCAGATCTTTCAAGGCCTTCTTTGTGTTTTCTACAACCTTGGTGACGGACAATACAACTTAACCCTGCCCAGCTATCGCCTTGACAATGGGGAGTGGCACGAGGTCTTTTTGGACAGACATGACAACATGATGACGTTACGGCTGGACGGTGGTGGAGGGAAACGGGAGGTGACGGGATCACAGGGCAGAAGCCGAGAAATCATCATCAACTCCACTGCCGTGATGTTGGGAAACTCCTTCCCCTCTGAAATCAACAAGAGCTTCCAAGGTGGGTGGGAACTGCATGCAGCTGGCTGGGTGTCTGCCCTGATGCTTCCACACCACAGGTGTTTGGATCAAAGGCCATGAGAGATTTAGTTTTGATTCATTTATAAAAACAAAATGAAAATTTCTCTCAGTCAACTTGGGGAATTTTTTTAGCTGTTGTCACCAGAAACACGTGGATCTGTTCCATCACAGTGCATCTCTGCCAACACGTTCTAATCTAAGCTCCTTATCAGGATGTTTTCTATTCTGGTTGCGCCTACAGACCTGGTAAGAAAGGTCATCCACCCATCACACTGCGTCACAATGTGTCACGCTGTACCAGACTCTGTCACGCTAGGTCACTTTGTATCACACTGTGTTACATTGTCACTCTCTGTCACTCTGTGTCACACTGTTGCACAATGTGTAACACTGTGTCACATCAGGTAAAACCGCATCACTGCATGACACTGGCACACCTTGACATACTCTGGCACACACCATCACACTTTCTCATACTATGGCACACAGTTAGACACAGTGAGACATAGTTTCACACTGTGTCACACTTTGTCACACTGTTGCACAATGTGTAACACTGTGTCACATTATGTAACACTGCATGACACTGTTACACTCTGACACACTGGCACACATCGTCACACTGTCTCACACTGTGGCACACAGTGAGACATAGTGTCATACTGTGTCACTATATCACACTGTTGCACACTTTGTCACACTGTCTCACACTGTCACACTGCCACAAAATGTGTCAAATTATGTCACACTGCATCACACCGTTATACAGCCACAGTGTCACACTGTGTCACAATACTTCAGACTGTGGCACACAGTGTCACACTGTTGCACACTGTGTCATAATTTGTCACACTGTATTACAATGTGGGTCACACTGTATCACAGTGTATCACACTGCATCACACTGTCATACTGCCACACTGTGTGACACTGTCACACTTTGTCACACTGTGGCACACAGTGTCACACTGTTGCATACTGAGTCATACTTTTTCACGCTGTATTACACTGTGGGTCACACTGTATCACGGTGTATACTGCATTACACTGTACAGCACTACATCACACTGTTTCACACTGTATTTCATTAGGTTACATTGTATTTCACTGTATTACACCTTAAAACACTGCATCAGACTGTTTAACACTGTTTCACATTGTGTCACACTGGATCCCACTTTGGTGTGAGGTTGGAGGTATCTGTGAAACCTCCTTTGTGAATTTGCTGATGCGCACTTGTCGTACGTTTTAACCTGTTGGTGTTTCTGAGTCTCTGAGTTCACTTCAGTTTCTATGTGATTGATCCTTTCTGACCAAACAACTGAAATCATGGTTTGTTTACTGTATTTCGACTTTGATGTAGGTTACTTTCGTCTGATACTGCATTTGATCTGGAAATGTTTGAATAGGATAATAAAAAGAGGAGCACAGAGTGTTTTAGACCCTTGAGAAACCTTCTGTAGTTTTTAAGTATATTTAGTTCACAATCAAATTACAACAGTTTGATTACGTTTCTTTAGTTAGATTTTGAAAGACTACTTTGCTAATCAAGTTCTGTTCTTTCTGTGTTTCTTCAGCGTTCGTTATTTTCCGACAGAGAAGCAGATTTTTAATTTTTGTTGAAATGCGACAGAAATCAATCATCTTGATATAAAAGAAAATAAAGCATAGTTCAGATCATTTGTGCTTCTGATTCTTGTTATGAATCTCGCTCCGCTTGTCTGTGAAACTCATTCATGGATTATTTATTAAGGCTGTTTATGGGGTCGACAGCTGAGGTATAACTGGTTTGAACTGCTGTCACTTCTGTCATTTTACAACTTGAAGTGAGCAAACCTTCATCGTAAACACTAAAGAGATGACTCAGAAGGAAAAGGGTCAGAAACGTCTTTCTTACGGCACAAATAACAGACATAGCAAAGCAGCTCAGGTGACAGCGAACAATTAAACCAAGAGATGATCAGATTGATGTAGAAATGCCTCTGGGATCCAAATAAACATGGTAGGCGGTGTCCTTCCTGTGTCTGAACGAGAGCGTAAAGCTTTAGATGTGATGTGACATGTTTGATGTGTCACAGAGGAAAAGGAAAAGGGTTGTATTTACATCAAGAGTGTATGAAATGGGTTAGGACACCATGTTTTTCTTTATGACAGCAGAGGCGTAGCCAGAACATTTTTATAGGGTGGCCAGGCAATAACCAAAGTACACTGAAGGGTGGCCGAAAGTGGATCGGCACCAGAACCTCAAGGTCAATCTACACAGTTCCAATAGGAAAATTAATGAGCACGTCCATATTTTCTAAATCAAGACAAACTATACTTTCCTACATCCTTTTGCTAATAAAAAATTTAAACATCCATGCTTTCTAGATAAAAGGTATAGTGAATAAAAATCTTTCAGGTCTAAGTTCTGGGGCAAATATCTTTTCTATTGTCATTACTTACCTACTTCTATCAATAATCACTCTGCATAAAATTGATATCTACATAAATTGATTATATAATAAGTTTTTATTAAAATAGTTATTTATCTATGATTTCACTGAAGACTCCTAGATGACTTGCAGAGACACATCCTTTTCTCTTTACCACATATAAAACAAAATCTAGTTCTGAAAAGTGGATAAATTCCATACTTATCGTCTTTAATGTTAGTATATTGATGTGCATAATTAACCTCAGTGTATTTGTTGTTAAGTTATTGTTAATATATGAAAAATTAAAATGTTTTGAACATTCCACTTTAGAGTATTGCTGCTGCCACCATCTGTATTAAGATGCGTTCACACCAAACGCAGCAGGAGCAGCGAGTTTACATGGAAAATCAATGGTTGACGCGCATCAAGGCGCTGCAAAATGTCCCGCAGCGCGTCTCAGCAGCTGAAGCAGCGCGTCGGGAGCGTTTAAGCATCTGACCCGCGCGACGCAACGCTGCTTGAGATTGAAAAATTGAACTTGCGGTGCATCAACCAATCAGAGATGCTACAGATCATCATTCCTCTGAAACCATTTATTAACGCCTAAATTAACTAAAAATGCTGAAACCTGTCGGCAAAACATGTTCGCTTTTATTATCCTGGTGCCTGCAGTTTGGATTATGTACATGAAAACCGCTTTCCAGCCGCCGCGGCAATGTAGGCAACCAGGCCAGAGGCTGCTGTTGGATGGGATTCCTACTGACAGCGCACTGCCGGTATGTGGGGGTCTGAGCGGCTCCGACAGAAATAATATTAGGAGGCAGGATGATAATCTGGATGAACTGACTGCGCTGATTAAGTTTTCAGGTGGATTTTACCACTTAAAAACATATTAAAACTACATTATTCCCACTGATCACAGTAAATACAGCTGCAGGGCAAAGAAAGGATAGGGTAGCTCCGCCCAATGTGCATAAGGCCCACTTTTCGACCGCGCAGCCAGAGCAGCAAAGCTGCTTCAGCAGCGCGTCAGAACTAAACTGGTACAAGCATAAAAAATGAAGCAGCAGACGCGTTTATGCTGCTCCTGCTGCATGATTGGCTAAGGGTGGCCACCCCTGGCCCACCCATATAGCTCCGCCCCTTTATAACAGGCATCAGTGAGAAAGAACCTTCATATCTAATCACATGCAGTCTCATCAAGGAGAAACTGTGACTTTTTCAATTATTAATGAATGATTGATATGACACTGTATTGGCCTAGTTACTGAAACAGACTGGAGGAAGTGCTTCTATGGAGCCACTTCTAAATTCACTACAGAGGCTCAGTTACATCACTGTTAATAGCCTCATTTACACTACCCTTTTGAAACCGTGCGAAGGTCTGAGCACGCACAACTGAATGGACCACGCCGGACACAATTGAACCGTGCCAAACTGGAACTAGTTCATCTGTAGGGCTTGGGACAGTTCAGTTCTGACTGGGTTCTCAGATAACAAAGAGTGTGCTCTTTTCTCCTCACAGTCAGCCTCCATAATCATGAAACTGTCGATCAACGTCTGTCGTTATTTCCTGCGTCTGTAAGCCCTGGTTAGACCATCGTTTGCCGTATTCACTTCCTATAAGCCGATTCTGTCAAGTTTATTGCCTTCTTCGCCTGACTCTCCGCAAACAACAAAATAGGACAATGATATCAAAACAAAAGTTCCAGAATGTTACGGGCACTGCCATGTTTGTTTGCTCATTTACCTCTAGCGATTAGTAGTACCGTAGACCGCCACTAGGAGGCGAGGAACCTTGCTAGCGTGGTGTGTAAATGGACATAAGGAACCAAGCTCGGCACGGATCGGTTTAACAGGGTAGTGTAAATGGGGTTAAATGTGAGCATGACTCGGCCAACTGGACTCCTCAGACTGGGGACGTTTCTGGAAGAAGAAACAAAACATTTCAACAAAGAGGAACCGTCCAAAAAGCTTGTTTTTTGGACTCTGATCTGGATGTTGGAAATGCATCAAGATGGTTTCTGTCCTAGTTTGCAGAAAAGCTGAGAAAAAATTGGTCAAATTGGAAGTTTTCAGTCCCAAAAGGTTAACCAATGAAATAGTATCCATTAATAGCCTGAGCCTTGGTTCTGCGCAGCTTCTCCAGAGTTTCTGTCTCTCTTTGTTTCTGTCTTTATCCAGTCAATAATCCAGCCAGGGATCAAGCCTTCTCTCCAGTTTTGCGTATAAAATCTTTTCTGGGGGTATTGGAGCAAAGGGGGTGAAATGTACAGATGGACATTTTCTTTTTGAGGCAAAGACTTAGAGAAGAGCTTGATATCGGTGGCTTACTTAAGGATAGAGAGTTTATTGGAGAAGTTCATTCCTGATTGGAGAGATGCTGGCCAAGGTTGAACAGAGGAAGAGGAGCTGCTTTGGGTTTTATGGATTTTCTGGCTGATATTTCTGATATGCAGGTTTCAGTCCAATCGATGAGCTCAAGGACAGTTAGATAAAAAAATAAAAAAAAAATATGAAGAAAAGACTTAAAAAGTAAGTGGAAGAAAATTCAGGGTGATTT